AGCTGGAATATGTAAGGTCGCAATGACCACAGAACGCAACAAGGCGAGAGAGTGCAGAGAAAAAGAGATGATCGACGCATTCAAAGGGATTAAATTCAAGTTGTCCGCAGACCAAAAGCAATAGATACGTATCGATTTGAAGAAATGCAGAAATGCCGAAAGTGAAGAAGTGCGGAATCTGCAGAAATGCCGAAAGTGCGGAAAATCGATACGTATCGGTTGCTTTTCGTCATTTCTGCAGATTCCGCACTTCTGCAGTTTCGGCATTTCTGCATTTCTTCAAGTCGATACGTATCTATTGCTTTTCGTCATTTCTGCAGATTCCGCACTTCTTCATTTCTGCATTTCTTCATGGTCGCAAGCTATGAACGCGGCCTATCGCATTTCGAAAATCAAATATTGCTGATCCCAGGCTTAAGAAAAAAAAGTGGAAAACGTACCATTTGAGCCCGAAATGGTTTTGTTAACCAAAGCATTCAAATTTTCGCAAGTGGCTGACACAGGAATATCGAATATTGCTGATGGAATATCCGCGATCCTTAAAGTAGAATTCCCATTGTAAACGAGTATATACCTTACCGATCTCGACGCTATCCCAGAAAAATGGGCATTTTGGTGAAGAGTATTCGTGGGGTTCGAAGCTGCAACAATGTCTGTCAAATAGGGAAGACTATTTTCAGCAAACCATATCCTAGAGGACTGACGAGCAAACCGGTGCGTAAAACGGAGTTTTCGCAATCTGCATGGAGTATTGCGTTAAAATGCCCATACCACTGAGATAGCGCCCTGATGTCAACGCTCTAGGCATTTCAAATACAAACGTTTGTTCCTCGCTGAAGAAAGAAACCTGTACATGGCGCACATCACCAGAGTTTTCAAACTCTTCCAGTTGTTCTCCCATATTCGAGGCAATTGCCTAGGAGCTGTAAAAAAAACAACGGTCATGTACGTAAGACAAACTCCAACAGCATGATTTACAGAATAATTGAATGCTTATATCGGTGCCCGTAAAAGAGAACTTTCAGTTTCAAAGGCTTTCAAAGTGACAATAATAACAAACAAATTCGAACGCCACAAGGAAGGAACAGGCGTCGAAGGCTGCCGTTCAGTATGCTGTTCTGCAATTGCAGACAGCTTAGTGGCATCACCGTAACATTCGCCTCAATTTTTATCAACTCTTTTCGAAATTCTTCATGGAAGAAGGTGTAATTAAAAGACAGCGGGTTACGGAGCTGTTGTCAACCAGACGTGCTCTCGCTGCGAGAGACCAAGGGTATTTTTTCGGGTCATCTACTAGCCCAGTAGCTGAAGGGAGAAGGTAAATGAAGAGGGAACAGAGGAAGGAAATAAAGGAAGGAAGGAGGAAGAAATAAGGAAAGAGAAGGGAGGCTCCGCGGTTGACAAGTGCCCTGAGACGCCCGCTTTCGCAGTTCCAAATGGTCCAGTTGGCGGCAGGTTTGGCGCGGTGACAGTGCCACAAACGTGTCTTAACATGCAAGGCATCTCGTTTGAAATGAGGAATTAACTCGTCCAAAACTTCAATCGCAGGTTTCTCTTGAAAGCATATCGCACGATAATTTGATACGCGGTCC